TCATCATGGTTGAGTTGAAAAGTTGCACAAGAAAATGGACCTTTGCAGTTGCAAGACTTCCTGCTCTGGCGCCTTTATGACACTTGCTGTTGATAGCATGTGCAAGTTTTGTGACTTTTCCTGTAGGTTAGGTGCTTCAGAAGGGAAGATAAAAAAAGAATGATTGATAGATAGACAGAGGGATCAGTAAATGGACAATACATATATATATATATATATATATATATATATATATATATATATATATATATATATATATATATATATATATATATATATATATTTATATATATATATATATATATATATACATATATATATGTATATATATATATATATATATATATATATATATATATATATATATATATAAAAATATATATAAACATACATGCATACATACATACATATATGTGTACATATATGTGTGTGTGTGTGTGTGTGTGTGTGTGTGTGTGTGTGTGTGTGTGTGTGTGTGTGTGTGTGTGTGTGTGTGTGTGTGTGTGTGTGTGTGTGTGTGTGTGTGTGTGTGTGTGTGTGTGTGTGTGTGTGTGTGTGTGTGTGTGTGTGTGTGTGTGTGTGTGTGTGTGTGTGTGTGTGTGTGTGTGGTGTGTGTGTGTGTGTGTGTGTGTGTGTGTGTGTGTGTGTGTGTGTGTGTGTGTGTGTGTGTATTCATGCATGTCTACATAAACGCACACACAAGAAAGAATGCAAAAGAGCCACTTACGCAGGCGTTAAGTATGCAGGAGAGCATTCATCATGCACCGTACTTTCTCACCTGACGAAAACGCGACCCCAGTATACTCACCAAAACCTAGTATACTCAGTGATATCCAGTTTACTCACTAATAACAGTATACTCACTAATACCCAGTATACTCACTAATACCCAGTATACTCACTAACACCCAGTATACTCACTAATACCCAGTATACTCACTAATACCCAGTATACTCACTAATACCCAGTATACTCACTAATACCTAGTATACTCACTAATACCCAGTATACTCACTAATACCCAGTATACTCACTAATACCCAGTATACTCACTAATACCCAGTATACTCACTAATACCCAGTATACTCACTAATACCCAGTATACTCACTAATACCCAGTATACTCACTAATACCCAGTATACTCACTAATACCCAGTATACTCACTAATACCCAGTATACTCACTAATACCCAGTATACTTACTAATAACAGTATACTCACTAATACTCAGTATACTCACTAACACCCAGTATACTCACTAATACCCAGTATACTCACTAATACCTAGTATACTCACTAATACCCAGTATACTTACCAATACCCAGTATATTCACTAACACCCAGTGTACTCACTAATACCTAGTATACTCACTAATACCCAGTATACTTACCAATACCCAGTATACTCACTAATACCCAGTATACTCACTAATACCCAGTATACTCACTAACACCCAGTATACTCACTAATACCCAGTATACTCACTAATACCTAGTATACTCACTAATACCCAGTATACTTACCAATACCCAGTATACTCACTAATACCCAGTATACTCACTAATACCCAGTATACTCACTAACACCCAGTATACTCCCAAATACCCAGTATACTCACTAATACCCAGTATACTCACTAATACCTAGTATACTCACTAATACCCAGTATACTTACCAATACCCAGTATACTCACTAATACCCAGTATACTCACTAACACCCAGTATACTCCCAAATACCCAGTATACTCACTAATACCCAATATACTCCCAAATACCCAGTATACTCACTAATACCCAATATACCCACTAACACCCAACATACCCACTACCACCCCAACATACTCCCCCCCCCCACAAAACCCCCGCAGCATACTCACTAATACATCTTGAAGTACGCCGAGCGGTTGGAGCAGATAGTGTCATCCCAAGACATGTAGTCATCTCCGCCTGCCTCTTCATCGTCTTCGGAATCAGACGAGGATGACGATGACGAAGATGAAGATTCGAAGTCACTGCGAGGTCATCACACAGGGTCACGTGCGCGGGGGTCAGGAGGTCATGCATGGGATGAGGGGGGGAGGGGGGAGGGGAAGGGGGTAGGGAAGAAAGCGGATTAGTGGTAATAATGATAAAAAACGGTAAGGATTTTTTTTTTTCTTTTTTTGTTAATTGCATTGGTGAATGAAGGGTAATATTAAAAGGTAAAATGAAATTGCAATTAAAACAGGAGAGGTGGAAATAAAACAAAAACAAACAAAACAGGAAAAACAAACAAACAAACAAACAAACAAAAAGAGATGCGTGTAAATCACAAGCGAGAAAAATAATCAGTGTAGGTTTCATGTTATGGTAGTTATATATTTCTCCTTTTTTTTCTCTCTCTCTCTCTCTCGCTCTCTCTTATACTCCCCCCATCCTCTTTCTCTCCCCCCTCCCTCCCTCTCTCTCTCTCTCTCTCTCCCTCTCCCTTCCCCTTCCCCTCCCTCCCTCCCTC